CAAAAATTTTTATCAGTAGCATATTCTTATATCTATATAAGGTATTAATTTGCCATGCATATCATATGAAAAATGATCTACGGTATCCTCTACCCTTAAAGAAGTAGTTGTCAGAAAAATCGTTGTCAGGAAAATGGTTGTCAGGGAAATGGTTATATCAGAAAAATGGATATCAGAGACGTGGTTGTCAGGGAAATGGGTATGTCAGAGAAATGGTTGTTGGGGGAATGACTATGTTGGGAAAATGGTTTGTGTCAGGGAAGTGATTGTCAGAGAAATAGTTATGTCAGGGAAAGTGTTGTCAGGAAAATGGTTGTCAGGGAAATGATTTTGTTAGGGAAATAATTTTGTCAGGAAAAAATTGTCAGGGAAAAAATTGTCAGAGAAATAGTTGTCAGTGAAATGTTGGTAAACCCAACTGATTATGTATAAAAATTTGCTGAATGGTCTTTTAACAAGTTATTGAATCAATATATAAAAGAAATAAATATTACATTTTTATAAATGTTGACATATTCAACATTAAATTTTCATTTGGCGTGTTTAGTTTGTGCGAAAATTATTATGGAAAAGGCAGTGCTTGTTAACCAATAAATCATGACAAGAAATATATAAAAAGCTCCGGAATCACAAACTTAATTGAATTGGCTAAAAACTCACACTATCAGAATTTATGATGACAGCTGTAAAATTGGTTGATAGATTTTAGCCAATTGTCCGAGCAATGTACGAATAGATGGTAAGTCCGTAAATTAGATGGCAAGTTTAAATAGATATAAAAGAAAAAAAAAGTTTTTTGTTTTTATTGGTAGAGCATGAGTTAAGCCTAATTTTAATATAACGATAAAACACGGCCAACCAGTTCACATTGAACCTTATCTGTGACCATAACTGGTTATAACTGGTTGAGTTTGAAGAATTCGATTCGGTTAGCCGATTGATTTTTTTTTCTCGGTTTAAATCAGAATTATAAAATAAGATATATAAGTTCATGAATATTTACATTTAAATATATTTTGTTTAATTAATCAGGGCACGACAAACTACATTTAATTACATAATTATTAATTATTGTATATTGATTAATATGAAAATTATGCTTTTAACGAACTTAAATCGCAGCATATCACGCTAAATCACATAAATTCTGTGTCGATGTTAATTTAATGCGAAAATTTTATTAATTTCAGGGTTGTCATGTTTATATGTTTTTTCTATTGGCTTCTAATTCTATTCATTTTTTTTATTTTTCTATTGTAAATTTTGAGTATTAAATTTTACTAATTAAATATAAAATATTTTAAATTTATTACTTTACTAATGCTCTAACAAATTGCAAATTATTAATAAAAAAAATTTTTTTTATATAAAGACAAAAATTGAGCTTTTGTTCTATTGTTCTATTTCCAACACTGATTAATTTAAATGTTTTAAATAAATCTAAGTATTCAAGTTTACCAATCTTAAGAAATGCGTTTTCTTCTCATACTAACTTAATATGATTAAAATTAACAATTAAATAAAGTAAATAAGTTTATTTTAAACTTAAAATCCTTTATACACGCTAAATAAAATAAATGAAAATAAATAGTTTATTCTAAAATTTTTTATACGGTATTTCCATTTATTGGATTTTGCATTTACCAACTGTTATCATTTTTATGCACGTGAGTTACACACGTCATCCAAATTATTTTAAATCCGTACCGGTACCGGAATTAAAATATATCCGGACAACGTGCGTAACTCACGTGCATAAAAATTTAAAATTGCAAACCCGATAAACAGTTTGTATGTACAACAGTGCTCTAATACTAATAAAGCGCTATCGCGCTTTACTAGCATTAGAGTCTTTGCCATATGATTTGACTGGTCGAATTTTGTGCACCTTCGGTGCTTAAAATTGACCAATCATCAGTTATTCGGCACAAAGTACCGAATAACTATTAAATATTTAGATTCTAAATGAATTAAACATTTAAATCCTGAGCAACATGACGAATCTTACGCTAGTATAAAACATAAATATAAGTTGCAAATCATAATAGAATATTTAAAAACAAAAAATTTAAGATAATTTATGTTAAAATTTATCAAAAAATCTTTTTTTTTTGTTAAAGCTTAAAACAATTTATATACAAAAATTCATTATACACTATTGTACAGATATAAATTACAAATTTTTTTTTTTGTATGGTTCAAGCCGCCTAAAATTATAAATTCAAATTTGTTTTTACTAAGCTATTAAAATTTCGGACTAAATGTAAAATTTTTAGGCAGAATAAATTTTTATCCGATAAAAATAAAGTGACGTGATCAAAAAAAAACTAATAAAAATTTCCATTTTTGATGACTTTAGGCGACATAAACCAAATTGTAAAAATTCACTCAGTTGACAACAAATTACTAAATTTTATTAAGTTTACTGAATTGTGGTATTGTTACACTATACTGCGGCAATTTCCGTATTACGAAATTTCCGAATTTATCTATATTGTTAATTGACACAATGATGCTATAATGCAGCATTGTGGCAATTCGGAATTTCGGAATCTTGTAAATTAATTTTGACGTTACTGTAGTTAATACGTAATTATCAGCAGACAGTTGGGTGAGTTGTCATGTTTTTGAATTATTATTAATTTATGCGTATAAGCAATGGTTAGTTCGAAAATTTGATTAGTTGCTTCGGAGTTATTTTAGACTTTATTCATATTCAATTCGAAGCTTTAGAGCTTTCTTTAACCTTATTCGATTTGAAATTTGTCGAAAAAATTTTAATTTATCGTAACGATCATCACAGGCCTGCCATGGTCTATATATGATGATAAATAAACCAGCTTTATTCTCACTCGCAAATCAAAAATTCGGAACATCTGTTTCATGTTAAGGGTTCCTTGCATAGACATTTGTATTCTCTTTCGTAATAATTCATTTTAAAAAGAAAAAGAAAATAAAAAAACAACAATAATAATATAATACAGTAAAATGAAACGTTTCTTAGCTAACATATATTCCGATTGTGAAATCGCTCCTGCGATCACTCTTTGTTCATTGGTTCAAAACTTTTGGCTAATAAAAACGTTAAATTGATCTTATTACTGATTGCTTTTGATTATCAACGATTAATAAACAATAGATTCATAATATAAGCTGATCGGAGAACATTATTACGTACGTAAGTACATACCATTACCATCCATTACCATTTCGCATGTTTCGCATTGCTTCACTTACCATGAATAGTAACCATTAATAATATTAATAATACAATTACTATTCAATTTCTAAAAATCGAAATGATTGAATAGGACCCTGAGTATTACGTATAAGCAATGCGAAGTTAATGATACATGAAATCTCTAGAATTGTTCAATGACCAAAGAATGCTATGTTCTGTCCTGTAGAATAAAAAAAGAATTATATAATTTAAGAAACTTTGATAAATTTCATGCTTCTAACGCTAACTTTAAAACGAAAGGTATATAGATTTCTTATACTTATATGAGTACGTACATACGTACAGTATGTACTGTACGTACTGTACATACTAATAGTACGTACTATACAGTATATGCGATAAAATGCTGATCATATAAATAAATTTATTCATCAATACAATGATTTGTACCTGCAGATTATAGATGCTTTTAGGCTAATACTTTATTGGACAAGATTTGAGGTTTACTAAGAAGCACGTTTTGCTGATTTGAAACACTGGATACGTACGTACGTACGTAGAACCCTGCCTATTAGATGAGTTTAAAGAATTTGATTGGTTTGAAAATACAATTGTACAGGATTTAATTTGATAAAAATGGCAGAAAAGAAATTATAAGCAGGATTTTTTATTTTTTCATAAGCAAGTAGGATACTGCACATGATAAATTTGATTGATAATTTCAAGTAAAATCTGTGAGGATATGATTTGTGAAAAAAAATAGTGTAGATTAAACGTTTTAAAAAAATTCTTTTGGATCTACATATTGTGTGAATTTCTTTGTTCTAGAACTTAAATCGTAAAAAAAAAAAAAAAAAAAAAAGGTATTTTCTAAACTAATACTATCTTGCGCAGCAACAAATTACGAATTTAACAAAGTATTTAAAAGTTACGGAAAAATGAAAACTTAACTGTTAATAATAGAAGATAATATCAATGTAAACAGAACAATCATATGTTAAATACATGCGTATAAATAGTCATTTAAGAGAAAGTCTTAACATTATTTATAAACGGAATTAAAACTTGTTAATCATCTTCAAATAGAAATTGATTTCATCATTTTGAAGTAGTTTCAAAGTTTTTTTTGAACAATTTTATCAAACACAAAGTTTATAAATATTGTTTTCGATCTACGCAAGTCTTATGCATGTGATTCGATTGTTTAACAACATAATAATACTTAAATGTACAATATCAATTCTTTAAGGACAATAATAAATTTTGATCATAATAATGATCATAATGACGATTAGATAGTAATTAGTTAGGAACTTCTATATCGTTGACGTTATTTATGCTTGGAGGAGTATCAGAATGAAATGAATCAAGTTTTCAATAGAGCTTTAACAAAATATTTCAAACCTTTTGTTATTGCTTTTGACAAGCAAACTATATAAGAAGGCATCTCATTTACGGTCAGAACAAAATCTCAGAAAATACAAAATTATTAAAATCAAAAATTATTCAAAAAAAGATTACGTCTGAACTGATTACAAAGATTAGAATATTTGATATATTATTAAATCTTAAGATCAAACAAAATCATTAGAAAAATGTCCACCAAATCATTATCGCATGTACAAACCATTCCTGATCTTCAGTCCTCCTCCACAATCACAAATAATTGTCACAAATCAACTAGTAATATTCCTGACAATTATGCTCTCCACTATCTTCGTTCTATTGGTCACGAACAGTTTAATAACAAAGAAACAGCGACAGTGGAACTTCAACTGAAAGGTTTTCCGAATGATCCATTTTACATTCATCGAGAATATTTAGTAATTCAGTCAACCTTCTTTCAAGATTTATTCAAGAATTTAAAACAAGGAGATTTAGTAATTATCGAAGTTCCTTCTCCTGAGACTTTTAGTGATGTGTTAGAATGGCTATATACTGGAAATAGTGATAAATTTTATGATGCTATGACTGAATATAATTGGCATGAGATCTGGGAAAATGTTGAGTTTCTTGGATTAGGTGTTGAAGCAAAAACTGTTTGTATGGCTTTTTATCAGGAGGTGATCGATGTTTAATCAATAGTTTTTGATCGATATATTAATCGATGTTAGTTGATTTTTATGTTGACGCAAGAATTGGCATCATCTCTACGTATTCGATATATTCGATATATTCGATATATTCGATATATTCGATATATTCGATATATTCGTTTTTTTTTTTTCGTTTATCGTTGAACATTATTTGGCATTTTCTTTTCGGAACAAATTGGCAAAATCTCGAACATTTCTTTTATATTAATTCGTAATATAGTAATATACCACGTTTATTTAACATTTGAATAAAATTCGTTTATACTCTCAATCGCATATTTTTTCATATCATCGTTATCATAATAAAATTCAAAAGATATAATTACATATGATTTCATACCAT